AATAAGGATTTAAATATAGTCAATTGTAAATTATGTTCAGATGAGAAATTATTACTTAAAATAAAAATTTACAAATAACTTGTTTTTATTTAAGTTTTCAAAAACTTTCTTACTACTTATATTTTGAGTCAAAAATTTTGAGACACAGTATAGTATATTATATATTGAGTTCACATACATGTTTTTAAATTAATTGTCAATAAAATTGGCACAATGACGCTATTTTGTACAAGTAAGTTCCATATTCTTCAATCGTTTAAAATTCTTAAAAGATCAAAATAGATAGTGTAATATAAATAAAATAATATTAAATTTAATTTTAATTTTCAATATTCAACTATTTACATTTTTTTTTTGGTTTAAATTTCTTACTTCTAATTTAAAAAAGATCTTAAATGACCACTACTAGATTATTAATTTAATCGTATGATTTTATTTAACATTTTTTATAGGATCTTCTGATCAGGCATCCAAATATAATAAAAGACATCAACGACATAAGATGTGCTTTTATGAGTGACAACGATAACTCAAACAAACAGGTAACTAACTGCACGTCTTTTTTATCGAGTCAGATTGAAAAGCAGACGCATGAATAATGCAATTAAAATGCAATTGCCTGCTTTAACATAATAAAATGGCTCTCACAGATTCGTGATCTTACGCGAACAGAGATCTGCATTTTACCAGACGAAGACTCTTGGCTTCATCCCCTCGACATCTTGAACATCATATTGGCGTCATTAATATTCCTCGTGCTTGGCAAGCTTTTGTATGATTATTGGTCTTTTAAGAAAACTGGAAAGCTACCTTGGATAGTCGCCAAAATACCATGATAGCGGTACAAGTGCTTCTTGCAAAAGAGTATTTGAACGGTCGAGTGTTTGATCATTAAGAGTAACAATGAAAATTGTAATGAAGGAATGAATATACTTGCATTAAAATATTTTTTTATTTACAAAATCTCCGGCCCTTTTCCTTGTAAATTCAGTGTACTAATCTTGAATAATTAATAATCTTGAATATAATTAAAGTTTTCTGACATATGTAAGTTGTAAATATTAAATAAAGACAAGATACAAACGTTTATTAAGATCAAATAAAAAATTTCGACATGTAAAATTTCCAAAAACGTTTGTATATATTTTCACGTTTGTTCAAATTTTATTATCAAAGATAAAGCAAAAGAGTAAGCAATACATTATATCGTAATTGATTTTTGAGCTTATGTTGATTATTGCTTCTCACAAATATATTTCTGATATAGATTTTCAGCAGCAGCAATCTTAGCGTTATCTATTCTTAATCCTTGTCCTATAAATAAGTAATAAAATATGTTAAATTACTCTAATAAATATTTAAGAAAATTGATTATATAAAAAAAATGGTATACAAATTATGTTAAGCTTTTTCTAAAATGTAAAATATTTTTTCAAACAAAATAATAACGAACTAATTCCGTACGTGATAAAATTTCGAAGAATGACTTAATGATTCCTTTTATTATTAGACAACTTGGAGTAGTAAAATATACAACATTGTAGACTCCTCTTAATATTATTTTTTTTAACCGGATATATAATAAATGAGAAAATAACATACCAATTCCGACATGACCTAAAGCTACACATTGAGCTGTGTACGTAAATCCTCGATGTGTTGTCGAATTGCCAATAGTATACGTCGGAATAGATTCTCCTTTCTCGAGACAAAATTTGTAGATTTTTTGTGACGCGTTCTTCAACTCGCCTTCACGTGCTATTATCTCTAACATCCTGACACAAGGAGAGTGCATCAAATTCTATTTTACATAAAGTCGATTGTTTTTCGAGCTATGCTCCGGTAAGTTTTACATCGGCGTAATTTATATCCTAATTTTTCTTATATTTTTGCACCATTAAACTCACTCTTCCCTCGAGAAATCTAATAATCCGCCAACAGATTTCGAGCCATCCATCTGACGCACGGCTATCATCCACAATATTTTTGCTGCCCATTCGTTTTTGGCCAGATCTTTGGTCGCGGCACACGACATTGCTGGCACATTATCCAAACTATGTTTAACAACGTGTAAAGAAGCACTTGCAACATTTTATATGTCGGATTTATGAATGACAAGTAAAAGTTATTAAAATTATTATTAAAGTATAATTGCTGGGAATAATCCGGCGTTGTTGAATAAAAAAATAATACATACTTAACATGTGTGGGCGTGAGTGAGTGGATACGATGTGATAATATTTCTTGTAATCTGTTTGTACGAGCTACGAAGTACTTACCGCGAAATCCACACAGGTTACCATTTATCACATACAGATTCGGTTTTGATTTGCACTTGTATGTGATTGGCACTTCACACTGCTTTGCGTATTCTTCAAGGATAGTAAACGGTGAACGAAGATTTGCAGAACATTTTGCAACACTGATCTATATTATTTAAACGTTTATATTATTAAAGCCATAAGTGTAATTTTAAATAAATCAGATTTATATTTAAGAACCTTATCGTTGGATAAAAAAATAAAATTAAGAAATATTTTTTATCTATAAGCTTCTTCTGTTCTCAAAAATCTGCGTTGCAATATTTTATTTGCCTTATTTAATTCAATTACATTATACTTAAATATAATGTAAATATGTTAATGTTAGTTTTTAATTACTTTTTCATCGCTTTTGTCAGATTTGTCATCATTGTTGACTGCCAATGAATGATTATCTATATTTCTGTCGATGCTTGGCCCCGTTTCCGAATCATTATCATCTGAGACGTGATTAAAGCAACATTTATTGTTTATACAATTAAAAGCAAAATAAATTTGATACCTTCCATATCATTATGATATTTACACAGTGCACTATTAGTCATATTTGCCCATCCTTCCAAACTATTTGCCTCACCCACTGCTTTCATTAATCCTAAATTACAAATATAATAATTTATCAAAATAAGCGGTATTATAAATTTTTTCCCACGAATTTACGAATTTGTAAAATATATTTTTTTCTAACTATTCCGTGTCGCACTCACTTTCTTCCGAACTCATATCGATTACTTCGCCAACGTTATCCTTTACATTAGTATTTGACTCGTCTTGGAAACTGTGACATTTATTCATCGAGCTTGTTTTGAAATGTTCAACAATCTCGTCGACTCTTAAAGGTGAATTCAAATTATATTCCAGATAGGGGTGTTTTTTTTCGCACTGAATAGATTGTTCATTACAATATTGAGACTCTAAATCCACTTGCTTTTCGTGAACATCGTGCACTTTCAGTTGCATTTCAACGTTCTCGGTGGCTTCACAATGTTCTGAAATCTTGGAGGAAAGTATATCGTTTTTTTTTTAATAATTTAATACAGCAAGCAATGACAGTGTGTAATAATAAGTAGGAAATATGCGTATATAAGTAGGGAAGCTACGTACATTTGTTTCTTCGGCAAACGATTCTATGTCGGATACCATCGAAATCGTCGCGTTAGATTCCCGGGAATCTGGTGTGTGAAACGAGCTGGACGTGTCTGTAATATGGAGTGAGTTCAGATCCTGTGAACTAGCACAATATTGCCGCGATGTAAATTTTAAATTCAGAATTGCTAAAATTTCTAGAATACACTTGAAAGTATACGACATGAAAAATTATTATGCATAATTTGACAAATAAAATTCTCTCCATCTGCAAATATATTATAATCAACGGTGTGGATGCAGCAAATTAAACAAATCAGCTTACGCGTAGCATCAGATCACGTCGCAAATTTCCGAATAAGCACTCTTTAATCATTAAATGCCAGATTGACAAAATCAAGCAAATGGAGGATTATTCCAGATAACAATTTGGTCAATAAGTCCGGCACGCAATTGAAAGGATAAATGAATGTAGGTCGTGCGTAAACCATACATTTCTATGAAAGATAAATCTTCCTCGTGAATAAATTACTTGTGTGTTTCCCATTATATCATGTATACCATTAATTTAATAACGTGATAATTACAATGAGGTTAGCCGAGTGCACGGATAAATGCAGGCTATTTGCATAATTGGATCACGCTATTGTAACCATTAATTTAAAGCTTAAGCTCGTTATTTTAAACATGTTGAATCGTAAAACATCGTTAAACCGAGTATATACTAAAGTTCTCCGAGGCTTGTTTGCCTGTCATGCACGTGCATGGAAAAATTGCTTTTCCGGGTTCGAAGAATCGCATACCATTTCCCTGAGTGCAAGGCGTTCTAAGCTGCTGCAGCAGATCCTCCGCTCGTTCGATCACCGTTTCCATCTCGCATAGAAGCGGTGCCGCATTCGGAAATCGCCGCGTGATCGTGTCCCAAATGACCTCGGCATCCTCGACACCGTGCAACGATCTCGGTGGTTCCAGCTTGCCGTGTATCGCTGTATCAGTGAACGATGCGCTCCCACTGGACATTCGAGGATCCTGTCTTCTCGCGAGTCTGTCCGCGACGCGATGAATATTTCATCGAGAACGGCGCGATAAATCTGCCGGGCTGTAGGCGGGCGGGTTTTACGTTTTTCGTGGACGAAAAATTGACGGATGGAAGATGTCAAGAGGCAAACAACGTAGCAGCGCGATGTCATCTTGATGGCGATCAACCGTGCATGCCTTCCGCAGTATACATTTTTTTTCGATTGCGTGAGTAAAGGTATAAGACAGATTACTGTTATCAAGTTAGTCAAAAAAATAGAAACATTTGTTATCGAAAACTTGAAAATAAAATTATATTTTATGCCAACTCTTTGAATATTCTGCTGCTTTTATTACAAAGCGATCGCTTTGCGTTTTGAAATTATTTTTGCTACAATAGATATCAAAATATATCAATAAAATATAGAATCGCGTAATATGTATATGGCAGTTAAAAATCTATTTATATATATATAAGCTTGTAAAACAAGTAAAACAATAACTTTTAAAAAAGAACTTATGAATATTCTAATGATGCTTTTATAAAAAGAATTTGCAGCAAGATTGTTCTTTAGGGAAATAGGTGCTATAATATTCTTATCTACATTTTTTTTGAAAATTTTTTTCTTCCAAAGCATTTCTTGATGAAAATTAAAAATAAAACATCTTTTTCATTATTTTTACTATAATTAATGCTATTCTCATAAAATTTATATATTGGAAACGAAGTTTCGCAAATCATCTCAAAGACAAACAAGAAATCGCATGAAAATTTAACGAGGCATTGCGATATAATGTGAATTAATAAACTTAAATTACAACTAGAGAGAATATGAATAGCGTTCTTTCTCAAGGGATTACGATTGAGAGTTCTTACAATCGTTTTAACGAGGAGTTTATCGAGGAGAGTTGACCTAAATATCAAAAGTTTCTAGACTTTTACACACAGTATATGAGAAAAAGGAAACGCAGGGGACTTCTTTTAGCAAAAATTACAATTATGTTAGAAAACTTTTTTATCTTCATTTTTTTTTATAGATGTTTCTTAAATTTATTTCTTAAATTTATTTATTCTGTTAACTGTATATATTTTTCTCAGTAAATATCACTATAAATGTAAATTATTATTTACTTAAAAAAAATAAGAATTTTTGAAAATAAGAGAGATATAATTTGTGAAAATCTGTATATGTTCTAACAATGAATAATCCTTCTAGTTGCAGTCATTGTTCATTGCAGAGGTTTACGTAGAACAAAACTTTAGACACTATGAATTATATGTCTTCATGAATATACATAAATGTATATACATAAAACTCGAAGAGAAAGTTATATTTCTGAAGAAAGAACGAAACGATAAATTGATTAATAATGCATTTCCCACGACTGGTCTGCTGGGTTTCTTTAACGCGATGGTATTTTATTAAAATTATAAACACGGGATTACAATACATCGTGTAACGCGTAATACTTGCTTAGAAACGTCGTTGAATCAAGGCCTCTTTGATTCAAAACTCTTTACCATTCACTTTTTTTTTAGCTACGTATGTGCGAGCCAGTTTGTGCTACGGCATTTTTTTTCCTTTTTTTTTATGTTATTTTTTTTTTTCGTGTACGTTCTTACATACATGCATAATACTATAGTTTCGTAATCGTAGGACGCATTCTCGATTGAGCGCGACGTGGAGTCGAGTCGTCGTACCGTATAAATCCCATGATGATTACAACGCTCCACCAGTAGATTTTAGATTCGTATATCCGTCGGAAAAATTAAACTCGATGCTGATCCGCCTCGGTTACGGCGACGACAGGAACGACTTTCCGTGGGTGCTTTTAAAGGCCGGGTCATATCAATGTCTTGGTGCCGGGAAGATACCGGGGAAATAGGTAATATAAATCGTCGTTCCCTTGTGAATAGAAAACGATGCGTCCCACAATGTTTATTACGTCGGTTTCCGTCGTCGAAGGACTTACGCTTTAACTTATTTATAGACAGATTTATCGTGAACTGCGAGAAAACCACCGACTCGAGAATATATAAAAAATTTCGTGTGAAACGCTTCCTCCTCTTTTTCTTATTTGACGGAATTTTATATAAAGGGAAAATTGGTGAAAATTTCTTTTCGAAAGGAAAGTCGTCTCGGTTATCCGTAAAAAGATGACTTCGCTACTTCAGTCTCGACTAGATAGTGATGGATGGTGTGGACGCGCGCTTAAATTAATTTCGAACTTTCGATATGTTAGAGTAAATTTTAACATGTCTTTAATGTGGCAATCGCGCAGTTAACACATCGAGGAGCCTGGCGGGTGCACAGTTTCGCTTCCGATGCACGCTACGTTTATTCGCTAGTACATTACTCGTTATCGGATTCCGTGTCTTATAGCGTACAGAACGTTATATACTCGGACAGTTTTTCGTATTCGGGTAGAAAGAGACTTATAAAACTTTATGAATAAATAATAACTGCGGCAGTATTCGTTGGTAGGCGATGTCCTTATGTAATGAATTATTCACGGAGCAATTCATGAGACTGGCGAAAAAATATCTTAACGCGGCCGACATCTTTGCGGAAATTTCCAAATTGTGGCAGGAAGTGTACGTAAGTTTGCAAAAATACCGTATCAAAATACCGCAATTGATTGTTAAAAATTGCAAGTATAACTCTTATTCAATTACTGTCCTTATATGAAATTCTCCAATTAAATTGCTGTCTAAAATAATAAAGCTAGAAAATATTTTTCAATTCGAAATGGATAGAAAAAATTGTAAATGTATGCAAAATCGAACCGCTTCTTACTATAACCATTTTTTTTTTACATTTCTAAAAGGTTAAAGGGAAGTATATAAAATTTTGCTTCGCCCTCATTTCATTACGTCTTCTTAAGTATAATGTAATAATATGTCAAACTCTTACTTTTGTCGACTTATATATCACTTTTCTGGTTCACCGTGAAGTCCGTTTTAATCAATTTTTATCAAATTTTCTATCAAAGTACGTATATTACGGTGGAAAAATCGTGAGTTCACATCCCGGGTTTGGACCCACACATTTTTTTTATTCGATCGATGATCTAAAAATTACACGCCTGGCCGTGTTAAGATATCGATGTCGCCAAAGAAGATTGCATCGGAAGGTCGTGATCCATCTTCGGCGATGGGTTTTCGAGGATGCGCATATGCGAAACGTGAAATTTACGCGAGAGATTTATTTCCGATTGTTGATACGCTTACTTCTATCACAGCATACAGACGTACGTTAGACGCGCTTTACCATACAGTGTCTACAATAGGCTAACGCGTGGAGACTGCGTCCATTTGCTTAACAGGATTAACGGTGTACATGCTCCTGTAGCATTCAATTAATTACGCGTAGACATCTACGTCTCATCCAAACGCGTATCGATACCGAATCTAGATTACTCAAGTAAATTATCTACATATATTATTCCATCCTCCATAAATCACTTATAAAGTTCAAAATATCGGAAACTACGAAGTAGTGTAAAAAAATAATTGTTCGTTCGACGTTGAATGGAATGAGATCGGCGACTCGATCATTGCATTGTAATGTACGAACATATCACAATTAAATGAGATTGTGTTATTTATAATACAATATAATGCGTTGTAGTATAAGAATAGTTTTGCTAGGTAATACGAATCAGAATACGCAGTAAAGCAATTTGTAAGGCGGGAATCGATTTATATCCAATTATCGAGTTTCTTTTTTTCATAACGTTCGTTAAAGCCAATAATTTGATTCTGATCAAAATGTTACGGTGTTAAATTGCAAATGTACGATGACCTTGATATTCAATTAAATCAGAAATAAAAATTTTAGGTTAATACCTTTTAACGATAAAAAAAAAAAGACAGCCCAGTGCAGTCACCTTAATTTGGAACAATGCATCGCGACAACGTAGTCCAAACCTACGGCTAGTCCGGCCATAGGTGATCTAATGAGAAAATCAGATTAGACAGGTGTGAAGTGCGTGAGTCCAATAACGATCATCAAGCTAGATCTTGCACAAACGTCAATGGCGTGATCCTCTTTAATCACGATTATCCCTTTTTATCAATTTTTTCTCTCTGATCACAAGTGATGTTACCGATAAGTGCGAATTGTCGGAATGTATGCGATCGGGATCAGGAGGGTAACAAGCAATGCATACATTTGACCTTCACTGGCACGTCCGCGAATATCATTCGAATGTCATTCACGATGTCGTCCGACTCTTCGCGTATCCTCATGTATGCTTTCCCGTCTATCGCATCGTCATTCACACGTAAGCTATCGCGAAACGCTTCTCTCGCGCTTTGGCGCTCGCACTATCGTTCTATTCTCTTTTCCCCTCCGTCTCGTTACTTTTACCGTCATACTTGTAGACGTTTACGACGTTTGCTCGATAACCGACAGAAAGTGCACTCAAACGGAAACAGCGTATCCTACGTCTCTTATAAGCATTGCGTAAACGCCAATTTCGCCGCTCTTCATCCACTCGCGCGTATCTTTCGTATTTTTTTTTTTTTTCATTTTACTCCTAAATCGTGTGTATCTAAACCTACCATGATACTGCGGTGTTTATCGTAAATGCCATATACACGAGCGTACGAGGTGCGTTTATCAACCTCGCGACTCCTCCTTTCTGAAGGATCAGGCAGGTGTCTCGCGGTATCCATTCTTTCGACAAGCTCGACGGATATATATCGTCCACCTCGGTCTAATAAGTCGAATTGCGATCTGCTTATTCAAGGCAAGCCGATCGTTGTGATTCGATTAGAGAACTTGACTACGTTTGCCGTCAACCAAATGGCTACCAAGCACGTCTCGTGCGCTCGCTTCTATGCGCTTCGGATATATTCTACGGGATTTCGTACGATTACTGCGAAAGTATGTATACGTGTGTATGCGTGTGTACGCATGTAAGTCTCTGTGTGTGTGTGTGTGTGTGTGTTCTGTGTATGTGTATGTGTGCCTTTGGGATGGGAGTGTTTGGCTGCCGTACACTCCGGTCCGTTACTCAAGGGAGGTTGATGGGAAGTGGAGGAGGAGGAGGGGGGGGGGGGGCCCAGAGCGAGGTAGGCATTTAAAAATCATGACTATTCACACGGTGGTCTCAATATTGGCGATGGCGTATTGTCAACAAATACTATCCTTCCCGTAATTCTCCAGGTACATTTCCTGGGGTGTGGCTAAGTTGTAACGTCCACTCAGACGGCTCCCGGTCAAGCCGTTGTTGTGATGAGTATGATTCACGTGGAGATGATTGACGTTCAGGGCAACGTTCTTCTTCTTCTTACGCGCCTTGTGCCGGTAGAGGCAGTATTTGAGACAACCGGTGGCCAACAGGAGGATTAAGAATATACCGAGGGCACCGGCGCCCACCGCGACGTAGAGCAGCGTCACTCCGAAACGGTACGAGCAATTGGCTTCTTCCTCGTCAAAGCCCGAGGGACAATGACGCACGCCATCGCACCATAGGACAGAGCTGATGCATGCCTGGATCTCTGGACATCTAATGACAGAGATAGAGAGAGAGAGTTCCGATCAAATGTGTGATTATTTACTCCGATTAAATTCTGACTTGTATATATTTTTCGCAACCGATAAAAAAACTGATTTTTTTTTAATACATGGAAATTGCATCACGAACCTATACGGGCAATCTTCCGTGGGCAGTATGGCAAACGCATTGGCACCCAGATTCGGTGCGGTTGGCGAACGTTTGGAGATCGCGATCCACGTGACGGCGTAGAAACCCGGTTCCCGCTGCAGGAATTCGACGACGAAGCTGCGGGAGTGCTGCGCCATCGCCACGCTCGCATTCACAGCACTGTAATTCCAGCCACCTGAGAAGAAGTCGACGGTCCTGGCCGTGTCGACGCCACCCTCTGGACAGATCACACTGCGCTCTTTCGTATTCGCGGCTGAATAAACGACGATTCTATTCAGGGTCGTGCACTCTTCAACGTTGTCCAAGGTAATGCCGTAGCCGGCGGTTCTCAAGTACAGGAAGTTAATACGCGCGTCTTCAGGCTCGATCAGCCACGGCTCGTTCACGCATTGCGTCGCGGTGAGATCCTCCGTGTTCGTTAGGATCTCCTCCACTGCAGCCAGGCCGGGGATCACCCGCGGTAAAGGACTCCTGAGGGAAATCTCGCCGCTGGTGCCGCGCAATCGTCGCTCCTCGAGTCTCGTCGAACATCCGTGCTCATTCGATTCCGCGCCCACCGGGATGAAACGATATTCCCCCTCGAAGAAGAAATCTCGGTAATCCTGGGTAACATTCATGAGAGTGATGGTAAACCTGACCTCCACCACGTTCGATGTCAGAGTCCGCACAACGATTCTCTCACTCACGTTCGAGCACAGACAATCGCGCACCTAAAAGCAGAGGATCGCAACGATTACGAAAAGGGGATTATATTATTTTATTTCGAAGATATAATTTGACTTTAATTAATTACTTGGAAATAAATTTTCCAGATTTTTATATTAATTTTCTTTTAAGAAATATAGACTCTTAAAACGACTTTTTGAGATGAGAAAGGGAGAGCGTGGCGATTTTCTTTTTTAACTAAAGGCATTGAAGAAGATAACAGATTTTGTTGTGTCATACATACCAATTCGACTCCTTGCCAAGGATATTCAGCGACAACAAGATCCGCCATGCCGAACTTTTTAACATCCGCCATGCGTCGGTCGCACGTCCATCGGTTCACCAACGGGTCCACGTAAGACGCGCAACTCTTGCCACCGAAGGAGGCCCTGACGAAGGATAGCTCTATCCTGTGATCGGGCTCGGCCTCGAATCTGTACACGCAGCTGAGATTCTGCGCCCCGCCGCGACCGTAGAAGAACACGTTCTTCGGTGAGGCGAATTTTCCGGCGTTGGACGATAAGGAGGATGAGGATGATGAAGAAGAGGAGGAGGACGATAAAGACGACGTGGAAGACGTGGATGAAGCCGACGGCACCGAGGCGAACACGTGGTTACACGAGATCGCCTCGTGGACGAACTCATAGCGCAGCACGAAACTTATTGGATATAGCGCGCTACCCTGGCGCAATATGTGTTCCAGGGTGAGATCGCGCCCGGTCGACACGTAACTCTCCGCAAGGCTACACGGCCGCGTGTGACGGCTGCTGTTACGCAGCAGACTGTGGTCGCAGAGTCGCGGTATGTCGTCCTTACAAAACTGTCCCATCAGCGTAACGTTCTGCGAAATTATGAAATACGGGATGCATCAGATAGGAAACTTGTATCGTCACAAAATATCGCATATGAAAAATGTGCAAAAGTACTATAGTATACGTTACGTACAATATATTGTAGATTTCTTTTAATGTCTTATTAATGTTCCGTAGTGTGCGATATATTTTTCGAAAATAAGACAAGAATGTTCAGTCGTAATTGACGTAATTTGACAAATTTGTCGCGTAACGTATATATTAATATGTACAGAATCTTTGACGTTATATATTCTTGAATAATTATATCCTTAGAATTCACGGAAGAAATTTCATAATTTCTCTTGCGAGATATTTAGATTATGCATTTCTCCTGCTCTCGTGGAATCAAAGCACTCTTTTCTGAATTTATATTTATATCTATATTACTTTAGTAACAAAGTTACTTCAGTAACGAAGTTATATTACTTCAGTAACGAAGCAAGAAAGTTGCTAAGTAACAGACTTTGTAGAGACGGGATACAATTTGGTACGTACTTTTCGGCTGAAAGTAAGTTTGTCCACTGTGATATCGCCATCCCATATCAGAAGCTTTGCATTGCAATCAGCGGCAGTGTCAATACTCGCAGCAGCTTCCACGCTGGCGGCATAATATTTAACGAACGATAACCAAACGATTTCATTGAGTTTCCCCTGGAAGTGATAACGGCAAGTCGTGTTCGGCGGTAAAGAGTGTTTCGGATTTTCCAGAATGCCCGACGAGTTCTCGTCACCGGATATATAAAAATCGCAGTTGTCATTTTCCTTCACAAAACTTCGAGACTTTTCGTCGACAAAGATCACCTATACATGTGAATGTACATATATATATGTGTATAAAGAAGCGATCGATATATTATTGAATATATTTAATTTTAATGTATACCATATATTTAAATTCTATTCTATGACATTTTTATAATCTATCAGTGATATTAAAATATAATCACAAATAATTAATTACAATTTTCATATTTTTGCTACAAATTTATGATTGATGTTATGCGAAAAGGTATTATGATATCCGAGCATTACCTGAACCTCGAGTTCAAATCCTGGCAGGAAAGACAGTGGTACTGGATGAAACGGATTGTCGTACGGGGACGTATGAAACTCTAACAACATCGTATTGTGACTGCTGATGATGTCTGGCACCGCATCTCCTCCACACAGCCTTACAAGTACTCGGTCTGAGGTTGAACCTCCGTCATATACCGTTAAATAATCCTGCACGACGTTGCACTGATCCCATACCCTTGAAAAGCGCGTGAATTTTACTTGAAAAATCTATTTTCTATATGTTATTTACATTTGTGTGTGCGTATCTCCTTGCATACCTTCGTTTCTCTATCTTTGAAAATTTTTCGTATCCTAAAGAGGTATGCTCGCAAAATTATTGACAATACATTAAATAAATTAATTTCTATAAAAGATGTTTTTCAATCATTTTAAATCGATGCTTTTATAACTTTTTTCCTGAAAACACGAGTTAAATTTCAACCACATAGAGATTAATAATACATTCATAATTTCTGATCAGAATTTCAAAATAAAAAAGTAAAATATAGTAAAAAAAAAAAAAACCATTTTTTGCACAATAAATGTCAATTATTTCGGAAACCAGACTAAAGAAATTCAACTTGTGTTGTCGTGTCTTCAAAATCTATAAAAACATTTTGTATGTTTCAAAGTAATTTTTTGCTATGTAAACTAGTGATATTAATTCGACATTCACTCTACTGAATATTGATTTGATTAGCATCATTAGCATCAACAATTTACCTTAGCACTCGCTGACTTCTGTCGTATTTCACGACCTGGTCCTTAATGTGTATCTTGTGACTGTTCCGCTGACTAACGGCGAGTAAAGCCCGATGACCCACCGGCGCGCGGTTTTGCTCCACCCGATAGTAGCAAGTGACATTCCTGGGATAAACTCCGGGATAATTTGGCGACTGCAGCCGGCAGGCTCTAGTATCGCATTTGGTAAGGACGCGATCGCAATACGTGCCGTTTACCAGCTCGCCGCGCCATGTGGACATACTACTGTTTCCGTATCTGAGATGCGCCTCGCTTCTTCTCAGGAACTTGTACGACAGCTTGAAGTCGAAGTTGTAGCCGATACCCTGAGACACGGAAAAATTTCCCGAAATTGTGCCGCGATCGTAACACGTCGTCCCTTTTACTTTCACGCTCAACATTCTCGGTTGGTAAATTTTATTCAAAATATCTCGTTGCGCTGATCGCCTCAGAATTTTTTCACGACCTTTCTGTCGAACGATTCGCCACAAGTCGATTTTAACTTTAACAAATTTATAATTTAAAAATTGGAGAGATTGCGACATAACAAATATAATGAATGATGCTTTCGATACTTCTCCGACGAGAAAAGGCAACTTTAAATATCGTTATTTAAATTAAAATGCTACCGTCGAACAACTACGGCAAAAGTTCCATATTGCTGCGGTGAAATTGCGGAAAATCATATCGCGTATCTCCTTGAGCTGGAACAATTTCTTACCTGCTCTGATAAACGTAGTAAATATAAAGTCAGATTGATGGAAGGAGTTTCGCTGTAATAGACGGTGTAGCCCCACGCGCTGCCACACCATTGTCCTCCCGTTGCAGGACGACCTTCCTCGCGAATAGTCATGAAACCATCTGGACATCCTTCCGACGTAAAGGATAGAAAGCGGCCGACCGTGAAGGTATCAAAAGTTAACTGCAACATCGGAGCCACAGCAGGGGGGCATTATTCTAAAAGTTATGAGTCAGCGAGAGTATCCGCGTGCGCAACTAGCTAACGGTGTTTTGTTGGAAATAAAACTAAAGATAAAAGTTAGAATATACCAGTTATTACGAACTCTTGGCGATAAAAGCAAATATTTCTATAATAACCTCGTTAATTATTTTGCAATGTACACGTTTTTCGTGAAATATGAGAATGAATAAGTGAAGTCACAAGAAGGAAGTTTTACAGCGCGAAAAGTTACGTAACTCCTGTAATATGAAAATAAACAATTAGAAAATTTGTGTTAAATTTCACATATTTCACGTGTCCCAAAAGTTTCATTCAAATTTTTGTAAATTTATTCTAATTTAACATACATAAGATGAATATGTTAAAAAGTAACACGAGTATTATGTAAAAGAGTTAATATAAAGAATATAATACTGACACAATTTGTAAGCAAACTGTGTGAAAAAATATTTTTTTCGTAAAATTAATATGTATTTTACTCATTTATTTTGGAATTTACATTTTAAAATACATTATTCTTACTTTTGCTTATTCATAAACTGTGTCAATTTTGATACTAAAAAATGTTATTTAACACAACGTATTAATATCAAATAATATAACCACATTATATTAAATTAATATCCAAATATGTTAAAAATTCAAAAAATTTTAGTGAGACTTGAATGGACTGTTTTAATACACACACAAAATATTTTTGATTATTCATATAAAAACGCAACTATTTTATAAATTCTATGATACAAATATTATATTTTCTGTATATGTATATACTATTTGCACAATATTAATACAATAGCAGATAAGTTTAAAAAAATCTTTTAATTCGTAAATATTGATTTTGGCAAGTGTCGAAGGAAGCTGTTTGAAAGATTCAGAAGCTTTCAAATATTTTTACGCCGTCATTTTTGCGTTTTTATTGTATCCCGAGATATCCGGCCCATCTATTGTGAAAACTTTATGCTCTTGACCGCTTGATTGTACTCTGCTAACAATGTAAATATCGGTTCTATCATTACGGAGAGACGTAATAATCGATATGTCAATATCACTAGAGATCGAAAATATATACCTAAAAATGAAAATATATACTCGGGAACTTACAGTCGAGGATCGGGGATCTGTAGAATAAGCTTATTTCGCGATGGCGGATGCAGTGTTTACTCAGCGTGGGAGCTGATTTAATTTCGCCAATAAACGCGATAAGAATCGTAAAATCCGGGATATAAATTATTATCCGGGCTCCGACGCGACGCAGCCCGCTGTCTGCTCCATGACAGACTCCGCACGCCAACTGGGCACCAGTCAGCATTATTTTCTACAACTACATCATTTCTATGTCCAACCTGAACTAGATCCCCGAGATCGGATCCGGCGGCAGTGAAGTTGAGGTGACACAGGAATGGCAGTCGATCCTCCCTCGGCCTGCGGATCTCCACCCTGTAGGTCCGGCCAACGTCACCGTACAACGTCCGATTGCAAGCTGAAAATGTTTGTCCGTTCGTTCAGTTGTTTCCTTTTTTTCGTTGTGCAATAATTACGCGGAAAAGTAAACTGCGTCGTATAATCATTTGTGCGTGTTATTACGTGGTAAAATAATATCCAAGAGAATTTTAACGCCTAGCTAAGCGCACGGTATCCTGGCACATCGAAGCGTGTAATGTACGATTGCACGCCGAAATGTTTCCGTCATGCGTTCACAATCACACTGGGAAAATATATTCTGGAATATTTCAATATTTCGTTGTGATTATGCTCATGATACGGGTGGGATAAAATATTATTTGAAACAAAATATTAACTATTCCTAACTACTTTCACGGTTTCGTATATCAAGAATAAAGTCCGATGGTAAGCTGGAATGTTTTTATTGTGCAATTATTATGCACGAAAAATGAATTCTGGGGTACAATTATGCTAGATTATGACATGGCATAATAATATATTATTTTATAAAATCTCCTAATTACTTTCTCTCTCTTTCTCTCTCTCTCTCTCTCTCTCTCTCTCTCTCTCTCTCTCTCTCTCTTTCTGTCTTTCTTTTTTTTAAACGCAATATAATCTGTACATTTAGTTCAACATTTATAGACATTTATGTGCATTCAAACATAGAGCTCTCACATTTTTATATTTACACTTAATATATATGTTATGTTATATTGTTATATTACTATAGCTGTATTTATAATGCAATGTAATATCTAACAAACTAATAGCAGTGTGCAGAAGTAATGCACAAATCCATAAGAATTAGTATAATGCTGATTAATAATGTTAATTAATAACAATGCTGATTAAAAATCTTCTATACAATTGCTATATTTTTTTTGTATTCTTATTTCATAACTATTGAAAGTATATAAAGTATACATAATTATTTCATGTAATTAGCTCACATGGGCCTGTGCATATTTTAATATGAATTTAAAATTTTATGAAGGAATTGGATCATGAATGCTATAATAAATTCCCCCTATTATGTTACGTTTCTATTGAAATGTATCGCATAAATTATCGAAAATTAAAAATTCAAAAAGATGAAAATGCAATATTTGTGTAACATAATTATATTTGAGCTTCGCAAATCGATTAAATTTCGTATGAAGTGGTAATTACTATTATACTAATAATGAACGAACAAATTATTTACTTCATTAAATTATTAAATAAAAATTATTTAATTGTACGTTTGCATGCTAATACAAGCCATATATGTTGAAACAAGTACGATACTAATATTCTATGAAGGACACACATTCTATGAATAAATTTTATATCATTGTACAATTTTTATTTTTATAAATGGAACCAAAATAATAACGCACAGTTAAATAATTACTGGCTTCGAATATTATCTGCTTGGATGAGTGAAAACTTTGTTCCTGATTTATATACTCAATAATTCATATTGTTTTGAGTATATCAGATAAACAAGCGGTCATACATGAGCGCAAACGTTTGTAATTATTTTTTCACTTCTAAATATCGATTGTTACTGTCAATACATTTTTTATTTTATTATCAGCTGTACACTATAGATCTACTATATTCAGTGTATCTACTGTGAATATTTGATTGTCTGGTTGACAATGATTAATCCCGATATTCTGACCGATAAACAAAAATCTCTTTAATTTTTAGAAACACGAAAATGATAATCCATTGGTTGACATTGATGAACATGGTAAGTTACTTTGTGTTTTTTTTTTCATCATATTATTCAGCAATCGTATATAAATCACACTTGACAAGAAAATTATAACAATAAATTTTTTCAGAAACTGATTAATTGGACTCATTTACTATTTTCTAGATTATATTCCTAAAAATATAGAATAATAATAAAAAGCTCCTTCAAGAAGGAAAGGGAGGGGGAGAGAGAGAGAGAGAGAGAGAGAGAGATAGAGACACAGAGATACCTCGTATCGATTTGCCCCGGCGACTTGCTTTGTTCGACGTCTCCATTCGTTCGCGGAGATACTCACGGGTGCAATATCTCGGCTCGTCAGACTTGTCGTCGCAGTCATTCTCGCCGTCGCAGTACTTGTCCTGCGCGACACAATGACCGGTGGTGCTGCATCGGAACTCGGACGGTCGGCAAACCGACTCGGTGTTGCTGGCTGCGAGCTCTGATGTCGGGCCGGACGTGGACGAGCTCGACGACGGCGAGGACTCGGGTGACGTCGCGCCGGAGTGAACCGCGTATCCACCATTCGGGTATCCGGAATAATCCGACGACGAGATGCTGGGGTAGTAACTAGTCGAGCCAGCCTCGATCGAGGCCGCGATCGCGGCTGCGATCAGCAGCAACCGCCGACACACCAACATGCCCCCTCACCCTTAAAAGTAAATTAAATTTCGCAAAGTTGAATAAACTTCATGCAGTCATATATGCAAGACAGTCAAGTGCAGTGGATTCTAATTCTATTTTATCATTTAACTTTTAAATAAGTAGGTAACCACAGCGTCCTATGCATATAGTTATTGTAAAAATCTTGTTCTGGAAAAGGAAAATGAAAAGTAATATCTGGAAGTCTTAAAGTTTATTACTTCTACCTTCCTCTGTTTCATAAATAAATAATGTAAATTCAACATTTTATTTTATATATATTATTAAA